AAAAAATCGAGCCAGGTTTTTTTAATATGAAAACCAAATTAGAGGGCGGCTCCCCCTTTCCAGCCTTAGGGTTTTGAACCAGGAAAACTCCCATGGTTTCCTCCCGGACCCGGGCCGGGGGGGGGGGGGGGGGGGTGCCATGAGCGCAGTCTTAGTAAATGTGGCCCCAGTGCACAGTAACTGACACTTAGCAAGAGCTTGGCAAATGTTTAATGAAGAAACGAACATGCAGACTTGGAGCAGTCATGGGACACTGAGTCCACAGGAAACATGCTCTGGAGGCTGGAATACAAACTGGGGGGTGGAGATTGATATTGCCCCACCCCGCGCCCCACTCCAGCACCCACTGGGCACAGCAAGAAAAAATGAGGACATTGAAGGAGCAATCAGAGAGGTAGGAAAACAAAGACAACTAGTATTTCAAAATCTTGGAGTTTGGAAAAGTTTGGTGGCATCATCAAGTGCCACAGAAATCACTTTGTGGTCACTGGGAGGTGTTTGGAGAGGACACGAGGACACGGGGTTTACTGATCTGTTGGCAGGGGAGGGTTAGCAGCATGTGGCGTTACAAAGCATCAGGAAGTGTTTGTCCAGGGCCAACAGGGGACCCACCCTGCAAGCTCCGGCTCTGACCCAGCCTGGAAGAACGAGCCAGCTGAGCGGTGGACCTGAGATCAGAGGAGACTGGGAGTTAACTGGGGTTTTGGAAACCAAGAGAAAGTTTAAATATCCTTTGAAAGCACTTCCTCTCAATTTGCATAGACTTAAGGGCTGTGTTTGAATTACTTTTAAAGTGAAAAAAGTCAACATGTGCTGCCATTAAACCAGAGGTTCTCAACCTGTGGGTCGCGACCCCTTTGGGGGTCGAACGACCCTTTCACAGGGGTCGCCTAAGACCATCGGAAAACACATATATAATTACATACTGTTTTTGTGATTAATCACTATGCTTTAATTATGTTCAATTTGTAACAATGAAATTGGGGGTCACCACAACATGAGGAACTGTATTAAAGGGTCGCGGCATTAGGAAGGTTGAGAACCACTGCATTAAACAATTAAGAAAAGGATAGCCAATGAGTTGCAAGCTATTGGGGTGGACTGTTCAGCTTATTTTGGCATTATTTTATTTGATTTGATTTGGCTTTCATGAACAATCACACTCCCGCTGTGGCTGTGAGCTCCTGGGGGTGAGGGGAATATGGGGAGGTGGGGGGTGGGGATGCTGCCGTGCATCAGCAGGGATTCAGAGCCTGGCGCTGTGTGGTGGGATAATCGAGCAGGTCTGAGGCAGGTGGGGGTCCAGGACAATGAGAACTACGGGGCTGGCGATCCTTCTGAGTTTGCTGGAGAACTGGGTCGCCATCTTTCTCCAGGCAGCTACCGAATGTCCGATGGGAGTGATCCGGGTCCTGAGAAGAGGCTGCAACATGCTGGGAAGAGTGGGCTTCACCACATCAGGTAACGGTGTGACCAGCTCCTCTGCAAGGCCTGGCACAGAATGTGTGTACGGTTCTCCGCTGGGTTTCAAGTAAAAACCAGAAGGCAGCTTGGGCTCCTGTGCAGAGTAGCGGAGTCCCAGCAAGGCAATCAGCCCATGTCTAAGGCTTCGAGGTGCTGGGCCGTGCAAGTTGTGTGGCATAAAGCACAGAGCTTCAGTCCTCTTTAAACTCCTTGACTTACTGTAACGTTTGCAGCTTCCTAAGGGCTTTTTCTTTAGTGGACCATGAGAATGAGCCATGGGTCCTGCTGGAATTTGTCTAGTAGCCTGGTCACAGCTCCTTCATGTGATAAAGGAGGGCTCCGAATTCTGGACCTGCACCCCCTGGCAGCCCCACACAGCATGGATGTGGTGTTCTGCTCACTCAAAAGCTGCCCCAACTTGGTCAGAAGGAGCCGGCCGTGTGGAAGCACGGTGACAGCATGGTGCATAGAGCTCCTCCCATCCCAGGGCCCTGGCTATGCTGAAATACTGTTAAAATTCAAATTGCCAGAGAGCTTAGCAAGTAGATACATTGCTCAGGTCTAAATGCATGTCTGTAGGTGGTACTGGTAGGGATGCAAGCAAGGTGTGTTCAATAAAACCCACAGGCTTCCTTTTTCTGATTTTTTGAAGGCCCTTTAAACTATCTGAAGGTCCGAGTGCCACTGGGTTTGTCAGAAAATCTTAAAATACAAACAGGAGGGTTGGGTAGGGTTCTGGGGTCAAGGCCCTTTGTGATACAGCCTAGCAACAAACTCACCAATACGTGATCAGATGACGGGCCACAAGGTGGATTGGTGGCCTGAGAACTTGAATTAGACTAACTGAGAAAGGGAGGTGGAAGGACCTTTCAAACTAGTAACCATAGGAAGTCCTTGAAACTAACTCCTCACAGGTCCCTTAGAAAATTTACTGAAATGGAAAAGAATGTTCATTCCATATCTATAGACATTTCTGGAGAATACCCCCACCCACGGCTTCCGCTTCATCCTCTTAGTTTTCACTGCTTTGGAAAATTTAGGATCTTGAAAATTCCTGGAACAAATAATCTGATTACATCTTTGGTGTTAAAAAGTTTTTCACAGGCTATACACTAGGGCAAAGCAGCTAATTTAAAGCGTGTCATTTTGGAAGAACTTGTTAAATTCCTCCAGGAATGTTACAGGTGTGAGCTAAACTTATTGAAGGAGCTACGTCCTGCTAAGCTGTTTACTTGGCTATGGAAAAAGCATGAGAAAAATTCCGGGGAGCCGCTCCAGGAGGTGGGACAATTGCCTTTGTAGAACATCAGGTGCATTTATTTTAAGAACTGCTTTTTCAGTCTTAGCCTTCAAGCTCTTTGGTGAACCCTCAATGTCAGGGATGGCTTTCTCCTACACATCTCACAATGCTGCACGTTATTTGCTGAATCATCAGTTATGCTGCTGGGCTGTGCACGTTCTTTTCTTGCATTAGACTAGCATCCATGATGACCCAGCTTCCCCGGAAATTAGCCCCCCCCCCCCAAAATCTTGGGTGGATCATTGCTATTGCCCTATTAACACAAACATCAAAGTCAGTAATCCACCCGGAGAAGTCAAACCGTGAATCATAGATACATACCAAAATTCAAAGTCTAGCAATATGCATCCTCGATCAGCTTCCACTGTGTCTAGAATTATACTGGCAGAAAAAGAGTCTACATGAAACGAAAGGTTTTTGCTGTAAGAATTCTCTTCCATAAACAACGATCCGCCTGATCTATTTTTCTTTGTATGTACCCAACCAACATAAATATGTCAAAAAGAAAAGTGACCAAAAAATGAGGCTGGTGTGAGAAGAAATCGCTGATTATGAAGGTCGTCAGATTCTCTGTGATACACAGGCCGGGGGCCACAGCCGCCACCTCGGCGGGGCCTTCGTCCGCAGCTGTTATTTGTGCTGGAGTGATTGTCAGGCCGCGGGGACCGCCCAGAGACCAGCAATCACTGGAATGAAGGGGTGGGGGGAAGGGAGGGGGCTGTGGAGCACAACCAAGGGTTACAAGCAGATTTCGGCACAAATAACAACTCCAACATAACTGTTTCAAGTAGAGCATCCGACTGAGACCAGCTTTCCAAACAAACGACTCGTCAGGAGGAACCGGGGTGCTTGCTGGAGCGGACCAAAGGTTTATTCGGAATGACACAGCACTGAGCACATTATCGTTACAGATGATCTGTGAATACAGCGTACGTCACCGAGCTTACTGTAGGACAATCTGTGAAGATGAGCCGCATAAATATAAGGAGGTGGGAATATAGAGGAGCTTCTTGGTAAGGGTTCTTTTGGGGTTGGGTTTCTAGGCCCCGTCATCTAGCCAATCTCTTAAAGGCAGAAGTTAGGAAGTTCGCTGCTCATCCCGACCAGCCTGCCTCCAGCCACAGCAGCCGGACACGTAGAGAATCAGGCTCTGCTTTCTCCAAAGGGACAGCACCCCGAAAAATGCACGTTACGAACACAGACACTGTCGACTGTTTTGGCAATGGGGTGGCTGGTTTTGTTCTGAGGCAAAACTGCAACTGCAACGCCAGACAGAATAAGAGCAATGCATGTATCAATGACACCGGAGAGGCCACGGGCTGCAATGGAAAGAAAGCAACTATGCGTATGTCCTCGGGTGCATACACATAGATCCAGGAGTGATGGGAACTAGCTCGTGCACTGTGTCCATATATATGTATATATAGAGGGAGAGAGAGAGAGACAGAGGTGTGTTGGAAAAGAACACTGAAAACGTTTGCAGCACTTTCGTTTTAAACACAGTAAACTTGTAAGAGAGAGAGAGGAGCGTGCGCACGTGGGCACACCTGCCCTGGGGAATGACACAACCTGTACTACAGGATAATTCAGCACGTCTGCTGCAGGGCAGCCACTCCATACCACACACTTGGTACCACAAGTTAAGGTTCTGGTCTGGAGAAAGCTACTTTAGAATCGGTGGGAGGGGGTCAAGTACAAGAGTCTCCACAGCTCGGACACAGCACAAACAAACTTGTTCTGAATAACATGGGAACCAGTGAGGACTTTCTCCTTCATTTGCTTTTTTTTTTTCTTACACTTTTTTTTTTGCACACATGCTCCATGGATATATCCTTCCAACCTGTATCTGGCATCAGTCTGCAAGTCACTAAGAGTGTAATAGCAAAAGTGAATTCTTCAGGTTTTCATGAAGGTTTAGAAACCTCAAAACCAGGGTCTTCCTACAACCCTCTGGGCCCTACTCCAGGCGCTGGGTGAAGTTCTCTGGGAAGAGGCCTTTGTAGGTGGCGAGGTCTCTGTACTGGAGCCAGTCTGATTCCTTCACTCCCACCAGCCAGCCCGCATCCTGCAAGACAAAGACAGGGTTTTCAAGGTCCGAGCGCTGGGAAAACCTGCACTGCCAGCCATTAAACAAAGTGCTTTGTGTAGTTCTGTGTCGTGGCTCTGCACCAACATGTTGGGTTACATGTAAACTGCTGTGCTGGGGTCAGTGGGAAGGCTGACTGAAGGTTGATATTAATATTATAATTTTGTATAAACTATAGTTAATTGATGGCAACTGGATTATGACTTGAGTTAAGGAAAAGAAAAGGGTTAGAATTACAGCCAGCAAAGTTCAGCCAGTGTGGCTCAGTGGTTGAGCGTCGACCTATGAACCAAGAGGTCACTGTTCATTGACCTATGAACCAGGAGATTCCCAGTCAGGGCACATGCCTAGGTTGTGGGCTCGATCCCCAGTAGGGGGCGTGCAGAGGCAGCCGATCAATGATCTCTGTCATCATTGATGTTTCTGTCCTTATTTCTCTCTCCTTCCCTCTCTAAAATCAGTTAAATATATACATATTTTTTAAAAAGAATGATAGCACAAAGAGAGGGACACATGTGAAAGGATGTCATGCACAGGAACATTTCGTGCCCTGTGGGTCACAGTGAAAAAAAGGATGGAGGACCCCTGGGTTAGAATATAGTGCTGACAAGGCCATCAAAGTTCTTGTATTTCATCCTGAACCACTTGCTAATAACAAACAACTCTGTCATTCCCTCAGCTCACATCATGTAACCTAAATAAACCACATATACCGGGCTTATCAAATAATAACGGCTAGGTATGTTGCCTGATGTTACTGTTGTGTTATTGTTGCTGTTATAATATCTATATTTTCAAGTTTATATAAAGTACAAAGCAGTTTGTTGTCATGATATTCTTGTTGGGAATATTCGTATATTCTTTATAAATTATTGCTTATAAACATGTATCAATTTTATGGAACTGCAGACATTTAGTCAAAGAAAGGTTAAATAACCCATCCGTGTGGTCATACGGCATGGGAGATGACGTGTAAAACTGAGGAACGGAGGCGGCCGTCTGCCCTTGGCCTATGAAGATAAGCAGATCCTACTTGGGTAAAGCTGAGCTGAAGGAACAACATGAACATACAGACCATACGGAGCAAAGCTAGTGGGGAATGACTATCTTTATTATGTTAACCAACACACGAAAGAGATCCCTCTTAAGATGAAGGATGGCCAGATTTAATCTGAACCAATTCCCAATGAAGTTCAAGTACATCAGATAAATGGGAACTCAAAAATTAAAGAAGCTGAATACATTCTCTTGTGATATAATCTGAGACTATAAATTGATGCTTCTATAGAGAAGAAATATAAGCATTTAGACAGGCCAATTTCTGAAGGCAGAAATAATAACAGTGGGAAAATTTGACAATAAAGTAACTGATAATATCCTAGGTGATGACAAAAATTATTCTCTTTAAAATTATGATGTTATATGTGTGAAGGACAAAGTTATACATAAAGTAAAAGATGATAACTAAATATTTTCTTTCCATTTTATTTTTAATTAAATTTATTGGGTAAGCATACAAAAGGCCACGCTTCCCCCGCAAGTGTCTATATTTTATATTTGACTTTATTTACAATGAGTGAAAAATCTAATGGTGCCAAGCACGTCAAGCACTTTAAAATTGTTTCAACAAAGAACAAAAGTAAAGGACTGGCACAAACCTATAATCAAGATATCTGTAATACTCTCAATAAAAATAAATGCAATAAAAAGATATATTGCAAGACATATACCTGATATAAAATTTATATAGTAAATTGAACTATTATTAGCCAGTATCAATCTTTAGCTGAGGTAAATAGAAAAGTTAAATTTTAACTATTTAAAATATGTGGTAGACTAAGAATTTCCAGTTTTGCTAATGGTAAAATAGCTTGTTGCAGACAAATGCTTCTGCAGAGAGCAATTATAAGCACTAGAAAAACTATATATTTTTATAGACCTAATATACGTATGTATAGATATATGCAACTATTTTAATATAGAAATGACTTTGTTACAAAATATATAGTATAAAATATAAGTTTATATAATGGGCTTGTTATAAATAAAGGGGTTGTACTTATATAACAACCATTTGAAGGCACTGGGAGTCACCAAAAGCAGGCAGAAATCAGAGACGGTTTAATTCTTGAAAGTAGGGTGCTGCGTGGGTGGGATCTGTGCTGGTACAGCCTTCCCCTGAGGGCTCTCCTCAGTCTGTGTGTTGCAGGGCATTCAGAGGATAGAGTTAAGGGCTGCCTGAGCAGCTGTACTTTTATGGGGGATATCTTGAAAAAAAAAAAAGAGAGAGAGAGATACATGGAAAAGATACATGGCAGGGAGGCAGAGTTTAGAGTTCAAATGCCATCAAGTTAGGGGGCTTGATAAACCTGTCAGGATTTCTATTGAAATTCCAGATGGGGCATGTCTTAGAGTAGCCGTGGGCAAACTACAGCCCGCAGGCCGGATCCAGCCCGTTTGAAATGAATAAAACTAAAAAAAAAAGAAGACCGTACCCTTTTATGTAATGATGTTTACTTTGAATTTATATTAGTTCACACAAACACTCCATCCATGCTTTTGTTCCGGCCCTCCGGTCCAGTTTAAGAACCCATTGTGGCCCTCGAGTCAAAAAGTTTGCCCACCCCTGTCTTAGAGGTAGAGACAATGGCCCAGGACTAAGAATTTATCCTAAGAGTATGGCAAACCTGAAACAGACCCACTCCAACAAAGTGAGTAAAAGAAACTTCCATGGATTCAAGGTAATTATCCAGTGGCTTGAATGCCTGCTGGAAGAAGTAATCTTCAGAGATAGAAAACAGAATCCAGACTCAATAATGAATTACCCACCGTAAGAAAATTTCCACAGGTGAGAAAAACAGGAAAATGTGACTTACTGACAAAAGTCAATCAATAGAAATGTGTCCTGGATGGCCTAGCTTTTGGAATAGGCAGTGAGGAATTTAAAGCGGTCATTACAAATATAGTCATGGACTTAAATTAAAATATGGTAATAATGAGAATAGATAGGAAATCTCAGTAAAGAAATGAAAACTATATAACAGAACAACATAGACATTATAGAACTATGTAGATAATATCCTAAATAAAAAAGTCACAGGACAACCTTAACAACAAATTCAAAGTAGTGCAAAAAAGGGTCACTGTACTATCAAACAGAGTACCAGAGAGAAGAAAATACTGAACAAAAAAGAATAGTCTTAGACATAAAAAGTCCAACATATGTATAATTGTTTCTTAGAGAAAAAGAGAAGAAAGGAAAAAAGTAAGAAATAACAGCTGAAAATCTTTCAAATGTAGTGGAAAATAATCAGGATACAAGTCGAAGGAGCTCAGTGAACCTCAAGCAAGAAAAGTATGAAAAAACAAGACCTAAGCACTTTATAGTTGAAATGATGAAAACATGATGCTGGGAAGTTCTTAAAATCAGTCAGGGAAATGTAATGACTGCTTTAAATTTCTCACTGCTAATTCCAAAAGCTAGACCATCCCAGGACACATTTCTATTGGTTAACTTTAATCAGTTAGTCACATTGGCCTTTTTTTCACAGTATTAGCTGTGTAGAGACTGGAAAATAATGGAACACTATTTTAAGAGTGTCTGCATTTCCTGAAGACTGAATTTCAGAGAGACATCCCTAAAAAATGGATATACAATAAGAAATGGTCATCTATTTGTATAAAAAATAAACAATGTACTAGGTAATAGCATCCCAAACCTAAATTTTGTGATGTACTATGGTCATAAGCCCTTAAATCCTTTTCAGGGCTGCCTTGCAGCATCTCAGAAAATGCAAACGACTTTAGGAAGTCACTATGCCCAACTGAACCTTAGGAAAAAACTATAGAGCTTCCAGCACTTTCCAATCTCATCCTTTACCTGGTCAGCTTCCGAATCAGAGGGTACCACCAACACCACGTCACCCCTTTGTAAGGTAAGTTCATCAGAATTTGCTGCCTCGAAATCGTGCAGTGCTTCCACCTGCAAGGTTGGAAAAGAACTCACTAATGTTAGGAAGAAAAAGAGAGGTCAGGTCAAGCTCTCCCCGTCAGATGGTCCCCAGGCATCTCAATAGCGTCTCCAAGCTGATAACAATGAAGACCTGTATCTCCCCAAGGGAGGAGAAGGCTCCTGAAGGCAGAAAGGAAATCCTCTTCTTTACTCAATACATCCTATTCTTACAGACTGAAACCAAGGCCCTTGGACGCATATTTAGTAATGCAATACCTTCTGCTAGCGCTGAAATGCCGTGCATTAATTAAAGTTTAATGCTTCATAATTTTGCTAGAGATTTGCATGTAATTATCACAGATGCTTTATTATTGTTTTTGAACTAAAAATGCCTAGCTGAATGTTCCTCTAACCACAGCTTCTGTCGCATTGGGAAAACCGTCGCTTGCATGTTATAATGAAATCAGGATTTAATCAAATTCTGTGTCCAATCTCCTGTAAATAAACTTCCTTCTTTCCCTGTCCTACCTTTTAAACATGATAACCTATTTCTAGTTCCCTTTTTTGAAAGATTTCTTTAAACTTTGAGTATAGGAAATTTCTAAAAAGTAGAATAGTAAAATGAGCCCCATTATGCAGCTTAAATAACGATCTATAATCACACCCAGGTTTATTTTTCCTGTGTCCCTCCCCTCAACCCTACCCATGATATTAAATAATCAGCTCTTAAAATGTGTTGTTTGCATGTAGAATCATAAAATGTCAGAGCTGGAAATTACTATCTTATCCCCAAATTCGTTTTTCTGATGAGAATACTGACACCCAGAGAGAGGGTTACGTGGTCAGTGAGGAGGTTGGAGGGCCCAGCCGGGCCCGGCCTCCAGTGGCAGCCTGCACCCTGATTCCTTGTTCTCTGACACAAAACACAGTGGGACACATGCCTTCACCTGCCACAGGCTTAGTGTTGTCTTCGCATAATTCATTCCTAAATGCATTATACCAGCCGTGGGCAAACTACGCCCGCGGGCCGGATCCGGCCCGTTTGAAATGAATAAAACTAAAAAAAAAGAAGACCGTACCCTTTTATGTAATGATGTTTACTTTGAATTTATATTAGTTCACACAAACACTCCATCCATGCTTTTGTTCCGGCCCTCCGGTCCAGTTTAAGAACCCATTGTGGCCCTCGAGTCAAAAAGTTTGCCCACCCCTGCATTATACCCACCCCGTCCCCCTGGGAGGTAGCAACGTAGCAGCAGTTACTGCCTAAGAAGCAGAGAGAAGAAAAAGATCACAACTCCTCAATCCCACCCCCACAAACAAAAATTTAATACTTCTTAAAAGACAAAGAGCTGAAATTTGACATGTAAAACCAAACGATGGGACTTATAATTCCCAACAATGTTCTATTACGGAGGATTCGCTGCCTTTCACACGTGGTGGAAGCCTGTGTTTCTCGGTGTCTGCTGGGTTGGTTCTTGTAAGGACCCTTCAGTGTATGAAGGCTCTATGTAACCACTCGAGGCCTCTCTGAGCAAGACCTTCTGCCCACAAATTCTGGCCTCTTTTCTCTCTTCCTTTTCATAGAAGCCCATTAACATATTGACCCACTTTCTTTTAAAATATTCATTGGCTCCCTGCTCTGTGTCCTGCACTGTAACCAGGTGCCAGAGTTGAATGGGTGATTCCTGTTTCCTGCCCTCGGAGGCGTGTATAATCCAGCCGGGAGCAGGTGAGCCCAGCACGGGAGGCCCCCACGGAGCTCTGTGGGGAGCAGAGGGCACTCAGGTGGAAGGCATGAACCCATCACTACCAAGGGACACAGCGTTTAACTCTCCTTTGCTAAAAATGGGAAGACATCACTGTAGGTCCCTTGCCCGCAGCACAGAAATCCTGCCCCGTTGCAATGTGATGTTGGGAGGGAGGGGAAAGCAGTGCAGAAAAGGAGTCTGTGTGGCCAAAAAAGTAAAAGTAAAAATCAGGAAACCAAAGGTGTGAGCAGAAGGGCCTCAAAGCAAAGGAAGGACAACTGGCCGCCCGACTTAAAAAATGAAGAGTGGAAAGACCTTGTAGAGGAAGCCGGGAGGCAGTTCCTGAGAGGCCTGGCTCGCAGGCGGAGCGGAGGGCTCGGGCTGGGAGTCCTCAGGGGCCTTCTGCTCAGCAGCCGGCTCGGGCACCTCGCTGGGGGGGCCTGGAAGGGCCGAGTCTGGAGTCGCCTCCTGGGACTCTGCACCTGTCATGATTTCGTGTGCTCCCTCCTCTTCGTTGTTGGAAGCGGGCTCTATGATGACCGCGGGGATGACCTTCTCCTGGGGAAAGAAAGACGTGGTGGTCCTTTGGAAACATCCTCCCTGCCACACCCTCCGTGGCTCCCAGGTTCCCCACCTCCCTCATCCCCCAAACCCAATGTAGGCTTTCTGGCCCTTGGGCCTTCCGCCTTGCAGGACCTTCCTCCTTTCTCTCTCTCCTGAGAGAGATACCCTTCGTGGGATGAATTTCTGGATCCTTGAACAATCACCCAGTTTGGAAAGAGTGAGGTTTCTGTGTAAACTGGGAGGAGGGATAGGAGACTGCAGGGAGGGGGCGGAGTCATGGCGGGTGGAGGAGACAGTCCTGAAAGGAAATGCTGTGGAATTCCAAGGAGGGGCTCATTCTTGCCCTGGCCCATTTGCTCTTCTCCCAGAGTCTCATGGAACTCCCAGAGAGCCCGAAACCACATTGTTGGTAAAGATATGGCCCCTGCTTGCTGATTATGATCAAAGCCTCACCCCAGTCACAGTTTCCGGAATCACGACTCCTGCCAACCACTCCAACACTCTACTGTCTGGGAAAGTAGACCAACGGATCAAGACCTCCCCCTTATGTTTTGACAAAGGTGAGAGCAAGGAGGGAGAGGGAGATTTAACTCACATAAGGAAAGTCTAGAGATATTGCTGGCTTTTCAGATTAATAATAATAATATAAGTTCTATATTCCCTCAGGCGTCAGCGGGCAAAAGCACTTCCATTCTTCAATTTGGAGAAAATAATACACTCTTTCAACAAGTTTAACAATATGTACAAAAGTATTCCTGGCACAGTGACAAGGAAATATTACAATGAATAGAATTGAGTTCTCTCTCCAAACACCATGCTACTTGCTGTGTTTCTAGTGGAAGGAAAGGGGCAATTCAGTTTCAAACTTCGAGTAACCCTGGAGAGACTTCTGGAAACTTACTCTGAGTAAAATAATCAGAGAAATGGAAAGCATGCATGAAGCCCACTCTTCACGGTTAACCTTCTAGAAAGTAGAGGATCCCAGCACGGGGTTGGGAGAGCTGTGCTTGCTCTGGCCCCTGGGCTTGAGGCTCCACAGTCTGGGCTTAGGTGGCTGTGCTGCCTTTGAGCACTGGTCTGAGAAGGCCAGGCCTGGGCGAAGCCCAGCTTCACGTATGTGTCCGAAGGCTCACATGACCCATTTTCCTTTTGAAAGTGCAACATAAGGATGAGCTTTCGGTAAAAGAAGCCTAATTTGGGGTGAATTTGGAGGTACTCTAATAATAATAACCACCACAAAGTAATAATCATAGCAACATGATTTAAGTATTAATCATGTGTTCTCAGCATGTGGTTGGCACCAGGCTAAGCACTTTACGGCCATTTTCTCCCATAATCCACACAGACACCCCATTATTCTATTATATTCCCTTCCTCCTGCCTCCATTCTCATCCTTTTTGTCGTCCGTGCTTCATTCTTTTCTCCATCACTTTACTGCATAGTCTCCTTTACCTCTATCTGTACTTAATTTCAGCCCAGTCACCGTAGCCCTGGGGGCTTGCGTGGAACCCCAGAATACTGACACTGAGAAAATGATGCGACCACTCTTTCTGAGAATTTCCATCCCCTCTCCCTCCCTCCCCCCTCCCCCAGCCCCATGGAGCAGCATGTCACAAAATGGCTACAAATCTATTCCGAATCCAAGAGTTACGGCCATTAACCAATCTACAGAGCATGCCAAAGGGCACATCCCCCAGCACCTCCACGTCACCAGGCACTTACCTGAGGCGCTGCCGCTTCTGTTTCCTCTTGTTGACCTCTGTCACTGTCTGCAACCTCTGCAGTTTCGGTATCAGCCTTGGGCTCCTCTAAACTTGCTCCTTCCCCAGCAGGGAGCGCGGCCTCCACCTCCTTCTCTGCTTCCTCTGCTGGGGCGCCCTCTGCTGCCAGCACGGAGGTTGCATCAGTCAGGTCAGCATCAGTGCCAGGTAGGATCTGCAAACCAGAACCAACAGGAGGGGTCTGTCTCCAGGGCCGCAGTAAGAGTCAGACACGGCTCTGTCTCTTCTCTCCCCTCGGCTGAGGCTCATCAGATTTTGAAGCTTTCTTTATAGTTTACGGAGGCCTAGGATTTAGGGACAGCAACCAGACTGCCATCTGTTTGGCAAAACTCCAACTCCTCTTTTTTAAAAATATACTTTTATTGATTTCAGAGAGGAAGGGAGAGGGAAAGATAGAAACATCAATGATGAGAGAGAATCATTGCTTGGCTGCCTCCTGCACGCCCCCTACTGGGGATCAAGCCCCGCAACTCGGGCATGTGCCCTTGACTGGAATGGAACCTGGGACCCTTCAGTCTGCAGGCTGACGCTCTATCCACTGAGCTAAACCAGCCAGGGCAATACTCATGTTCTTAGAAATTTACTTCCTTCTTTTATGAGAATTCCTTATTATGAGAATTTGGCTCTCCAAAGTGTACAATGACTCAAAGTAGAGTCACTAGCCACTGTGTAGCATTTATTTCTCTTTTTCTACCCTGTCATTAAAGTACATAGGTTTCAGAAAAGTAATCCTTTCACCTGAATTGAGGCATACTTATTTGAAGTGAATTATAAATGTTGATAATTTTTGAAGAGGGATAACAGATTTATATTTGGTGGATGACTGAACATTTCCATAATAGATATTTATGTAAGAGAATTGCACCTCTTGTTTTAAAGAAACATTGACCTTTTAATGGAGGTTATTGTTGCCGTCGAACATAAATTAGGAGGGTATCTTGATTCCAAGAATACTGAACAATTCCTTGTAGTTTTATTGTTGGAGAAATGAACAAGCTTCTTCAGGGTCCTGAGGACCTAACCAAGTTTCTTCAAATTAGAGTCTATACCTAAAGACTGCACACACAATGGCTTACCTGTGGGCTTAAATGCAAAAAGTAAGCTGTGTTGCCACAATTCTAAGTTATTTGTGATTTCTATCTGTCTGGAAAATCACACTATGGAGTGACCCTCCCACCGGTTTCCATAGCTTCACACCAGACGGACTCTATGTACATGCAGACAGTGTGAACTGACAGTGAGTACCACCACGTGCACACATGCACACATACATGTCACAGATCTGAACGCAGCCACCATCATATCTGATAGGCTATTCCTCCAAGTGATTATACATAAATCCTTCCATACATATATGTTCAGAGCACATACAACTAGTAATTGGATTTTATTCTCAACTGAACTGATATAGCTTCAGAGAGAATATATTTCTGTGAAGCATCGGTGGTGTTCCCAAAGGTAATTTTCTAACCCTCTCCATACAAATAGAATGTTAACCACAAATTCCTTATTTACCCCTAGGGCTCTGTACACCTATCAACTTGACCCTATCAAATTTCACTATCATAAGATACACATGTTATCTTTTCTTTGGTAAATGGTTTAAACAGGCTTCCTTGGCTGGATTTGATATAGACTTGACAGCGTGGCTGCTGTGATGCCAGCCACCAGCAGGTGGAGGCCAAGTGCATGGTCTCCCTGTGCTCTGACTTTCCTTGACCTCATAGGAGCCAATTGCAGGTCAGCAATTGACCTGATCTCTCTCTCTCTCTCTCTCTCTCTCTCTCTCTCTCTCTCTCTCACACACACACACACACACACACTCTCACAGGCATAGACCATGTGGAAAACAGTTGATAAGAATGATGGCAAATCAAAATCACCAAAATATTGGCATTAACAATGCTGGTAGAGTCAGGGTGCCAAGGAAACTGCCACTTGACTAGGGGAGAGGAAAAGGCAAACAATTTGAATGACCTACTTAGGGAAGGGAAGAAATTTACAGTCCTCCATGCTTCTCTGAGTCCGTGAGAGATGACTTCTGATTTCTCTAGTCAGATTTTACAGAGCCTATAGACCCCTGCAGAAAGAGAGGCGTGCCCACTGCCTAGATCCCCTCCCTCTTTCTGCCTCTGGCTTTGCTCTGATAATCAGTGGTGCCCAATTCTCCCTTTATGTCTGGGATCTGTGCCACATTTTCTGCTCTTACCAATGTATTTCCACAGCATATTTACTGACTGCAATAATAGAACAACATTAAAATACAACAGTACACAAGAATCCTTTTGCTCAGATTAAGTGTTAATGCTAGATAAAATCAAGGCAAGGTTGAAAAAGTTTTCAGTAATAGGGTTATTCCTCTTTTATTATATTTATGCATTCCAACTTGTTAGCTACTTGTAGATTTAGAAAAGAAAAACATTTTCTAGACTTTCCTTGCTACCGTAGGTGTTACACCTGCTAGGAAAAAAACATAATGATTAATGACTATTTTTTTTAATGTATTATCCAGGGAGACTAGGGGACTGAAACCACTCAAAGTATTTCAAGCCTTTGTTATTCAATGTTATTATATTTTCCTCTTCACTCCAAATGTTAAGGGATACACCATTATTTTATCTTCTGCCAAACTATACTATTTGTTGGCCAAATATATTTATAGTGGAAAACATTTAATGCAAAGATGAATTTAAAAAATTTCTAGCTGCCCTTAGGCACATGTTGTTTACCTGTGTGCCCAAGTCCTGAACTATTGCCAATGTGCACCTCAATCACACAGAAACCACAAGGGTCAGCAGGGGACCCATCTTTGAGATGGAGAGCGGTTCTCACTTTCTCACTCACATCTGACAGCTTCACCACTCGGCTCCAACAGTCTCCTCGGTGGGAAGTGATAGGGTTATGGCAATCCTGTCAGAGTCGGTTTAAACACCTCGCTGCATTAGAAGTTTTTCTGGAAGTGGGATGAAATTGATGCAATGCAACAATGGCCTCCGCAGCCTGCAAAGCAGGGAACACAGCTTGCTGACAGAAACACAAGCAGTCAGTCCCTCCGGAGACGGTGTCAGGAAAGCAAGTCAACGAGGATGAGACCCCAAACAAGTAGGAGTGGGACTGGCTGCAGGAGAGGCTGCAATCTCTGGGATCTGTTTAATTGATTGCTTTATTTTACTTCTTCATTGTGTTACTTCCTTGGCAACATGATCTCTGAACAATGCCTGGAAAGCAGCTTGCCGCTCATGTCACTGGTCTAAGTGACAACTGCAGAGAGTCCCAGGTATGAAATTCCATACTTTTCTATAGGGAAGGTTATTTTAACTGAAAATAGGTCTTTTCTCTGATTAAAAAATAATGATGTCATCGGTTTAAAAATAAAAGAAATAATTTAATGGTAAGATTTTGAGGTATTTATTTTTATTCATTTCTATGCATACAGGGACTTTATTTGTCTATTTAATTTACAACATGTAGATGATGTTTCATAGAAAAATTCTTATCAATAGCTATATAACACTTTATTTCCTTTTCTATTTAACAAGTTATTTAACAGTTCTCCTGTAATTGAACTAGTTGGTTTCCAGTTCTTAGAACTGTTATAAACACGGTGAGAAAAATCTTGGTTTGTAACCATATTTACAACCACCTTATGAGCTATACACTTAAATAATTTCACTAGCCCTGGCCTGTGTGGCTCAGTTGATTGAGCATCATCCCATGCACATGAAGGTCACCAGTTTGATTCCTGGTCAGGGCCATGCCCAGGTTATGAGTTCAATCCCCAGTAGGGGGTGTGCAGGAGGCAGCTAATGATGTTTCTCTCTCTCTCTCCCTCCCTCCTTTTCTTTCTCTCACTCAAAATAAATCATTTAAATACTAAACATGCTCCCCCTTTTTTTGTGATGTCCTACATAAGGACTTTTGGGGAAGGGTTGCCCAAATTTTTATTATGGAAAAAAGTCAACAGTGAGAAAAATTTCAAGGATCATACAGTACACATCCAAGTACCCAGCACCTAGGATCCCCAACTGACATGTTGCTACATTTGTTTCATCACATCTTCCCATCTGTCCACACTGATTTTTTTTAAATCCTCACCCGAGGATACTTTTCCATTAATTTTTAGAGAGAGTGGAAGAGAGAGGGAAAGACAGAGAGAAATATCAATGTGAAACACATCGATTGGTTGCCTCCTGCATGAGTCCGACCAGGGCCTGGGTCAGGGAGGAGCCTGCAACCAAGGTCCGTACCCTTGACTGGAATCGAACCCAGGACCCTATGGTCCACAGGCCAATGCTTTATCCACTGAGCCAAACCAGCTAGGGCCACACTGATTTTGATTCATCATTCAGTCAATCATGATACATCTTCAAAAAACGATTTTCAGGAGTTCTATGGATGCTATATACCTTAAATATTTGGTAATGTTTCCCTGCTGCTTTCAAACATGATTGACTACTGCCTTTAGAATTGTTAAAATGTGGTTTTTTGCACTAAAAATCTCTATGTCCTTCTGACAGCTTCTGACGTTTAGTATTGGAAAGGACAGGTCTGAGGCCTAATTATTGTTGTTTCGTAGTGCATTTTCTCCACAATCTATATGTTTGCAGAATTTCTTTTGCAAGCTTCAAATTTAAAATTTTTAAAGGCTAACATTTAGGTGCTAGTCCCTCATGAATTTTGCCCTTTTTTGGTGATTCTTGGGATCTGCATGCAGGATTTCCTTCAGCCAGGGAAGTCCAGCTGGGGCACGGGCTACTGTGCTTCCACTCCCTCCCCTACAGCGTTTCCGGAGGAGCAGTAATTACTCAGGAGCTGTGTCCTCAGTCTCCGGGCTCCCATCCACCTCCTTTGCTTGTGCTTTTCCTCTCTGTGTTGGGTGAGCTCCTCCAGTTTATCCTCATAGCATGACTCACCACACGGCTGCCGCCGGTTTACCACTCATCGGCAAGTTTTATTTCCAATCTGTCATCACCGAGACCCCTTCTCATCTACCTCACGAGCAACTCTTTTTATCTCATTGAGGTTGCCTTACCTCATCTTTCATTTCTTGTTTCAAATAATCAAGGTCCTCTTGAATTTTGCTGATAACAAAAGGAAGACATTTTTTCAAATTTTTCTGCTGTATTTTCGGTAATTTTTTTTTTTGTTCTCCAA